GGTGGTGGCGGGGGACGGTAGCCCCCCCACAAAAACCCTGTTTGCAATATTTTAAAGGGGACTGCCCTTGCACAAGTCCTGGTTAATTGTGAATTAATAGTGTGGGATGAATGCACCATGTCCCACAAGGGAGCATTTGAGGCTGTCAACACAACAACTTTGCAGGACCTCCGCGATAATTCCAGGATTATGGGTGGTGTAACTTTTCTCATGGCTAGTGACTTCCGACAAACCTTAACTGTAGTACTTCAAGGAACCAAAGATAATGAATTAAATGCCTGCATCAAGTCATAATTCTTCTGGAAGCACAACTTGCTACAAAAAATAGAGGCACCTGTGTTGCTATTGAGAATCTTGGACCCACCTAGACTGTGCAATGGCACAAGGCTTATTGTGAAAAAATTACATTCTAATGTTATCAAAGCTACAATCGTTACAGGCAATTCTAAAGGTGAGGACGTCTTTATCCTTCACATACAGTGAGGGAAAAAAGTATTTGATCCCCTGCTGATTTTGTACATTTGCCCACTGACAATGAAATGATCAGTCTATAATTTTAATGGTAGGTTTATTTGAAGAGTGAGAGAGAGAATAACAACAACAAAATCCAGAAAAACGCATGTCAAAAATGTTATGAATTGATTTGCATTTTAATGAGGGAAATAAGTATTTGACCCCTCTGCAAAACATGACTTAGTACTTGGTGGCAAAACCCTTGTTGGCAATCACAGAGGTCAGACATTTCTTGTAGTTGGCCACCAGGTTTGCACACATCTCAGGAGGGATTTTGTCCCACTCCTCTTTGCAGATCTTCTCCAAGTCGTTAAGGTTTCGAGGCTGACGTTTAGCAACTCGAACCTTCAGCTCTCTACACAGATTTTATATGGGAATAAGGACTGGAGACTGGCTAGGCCACTCCAGGACCTTAATGTGCTTCTTCTTGAGCCACTCCTATGTTGCCTTGGCCGTGTGTTTTGGGTCATTGTCATGCTGGAATACCCATCCACGACCCATTTTCAATGCCCTGGCTGAGGGAAGGAGGTTCTCACCCAAGATTTGACAGTACATGGCCCCGTCCATCGTCCTTTGATGCGGTGAAGTTGTCCTGTCCCCTTAGCAGAAAAACACCCCCAAAGCATAATGTTTCCACCTCCATGTATGACGGTGGGGATGTTGTTCTTGGGATCATAGGCAGCATTCCTCCTCCTCCAAACACGGCGAGTTGAGTTGATGACAAAGAGCTCCATTTTGGTCTCATCTGACCACAACACTTTCACCAAGTTGTCCTCTGAATCATTCAGATGTTCATTGGCAAACTTCAGACGGGCATGTATGTGCTTTCTTGAGCAGGGGGACCTTGCGGGCGCTGCAGGATTTCACTCCTTCACGGCGTAGTGTGTTACCAATTGTTTTCTTGGTGACTATGGTCCCAGCTGCCTTGAGATCATTGACAAGATCCTCCCGTGTAGTTCTGGGCTGATTCCTCATCGTTCTCATGATCATTGCAACTCCACGAGGTGAGATCTTGACATGCGTTTTTCTGGATTTTGTTGTTATTATGTCTCTCACTGTTCAAATAAACCTACCATTAAATTATCGACTGATAATTTCTTTGTCAGTGGGCAAACGTACAAAATCAGCAGGGGATCAAATACTTTTTTCCTTCACTGTACCTATAATCCCAAATTACATATTCTTTGAATTTAAGATGCTTCAATTCCCCATCCAGCTCAGCTTTGCCATGTCCATTAACAAGGCGAAAGGACAATCTTTAAAAGTGGTGGGACTGAATTTGGCAACTCAGTGCTTTTCTCATGGCCAACTTTATGTTGGATGCTCTCGTGTAGGCAATGAAAATTCTTTATATTACTTTGCATCAGCAGGAAAGACCAAAAACATTGTTTACAAAGAGGCTCTTTGATAGGGGGGTGCGGGTCAGCAAAAGTGTCTGTTTCACCTGCGCCTACCAAGTGCGATCAGGCTGCCAGCGGTTGTTTGTGGCACCGCCCATGCGCTGTTGTTCTTTCGCCTCGGATCTTACCTGCCCTACCTCCCTTCTCCCCATTTCCTGCTTTTTCCTAATTACAAATTATATACCGTTTGTATATTGTGAAGTGCCTTACTAAAGTACAAATAAATACTAGTGTAATAAATGCTAAAGTACAAATAAATACGTGTTTTTCTACCAATCACCATATACTTATGACACTTCGAATTCAATGAAAGACAAAGGCATATCATACAAGTTAAGTATGACCTTGAATTTTCATTATAGTGTGCTGATCTTTAAAGGTGCATTGAAAAATGTTGATACCCCTGCTGATACTCCTGCTGTTATGGAGTGACTCATGCTGCCAACTATGGCTGCAAAGTTTGGTCGTACATGTTATGTATGTCGTTTATTCTTACATTTGAATCACTGTTCCTATGATCACTGTTACATTGTTTTTATAGCTTTATTTTGGTGATTTCTAAAACGTATAGTTAAGTCATGTTTATTTGAAGTACAGTTAGCCTGATAACTTTAATCTAAATTGTCTTATGGTTGTTATTGTTTGACTTGCATCCCGCTGGGATTTTTGCACACAGCGTTGATATACGGTGTTTTTTTCTGGAATATTTTGCTGTTTTTTCCTGGATGTTTTTGTTGCACGTCATCACTTTCGGATGTTCTTTGTTCATGGTTATGTTTGTTGCGTTTGCACCTGAGTCAAGAGCCGCATGGCTCACAGGGCTATATCTAATCTGTGAAACTGAAAACTTGAAAAAAAGCCACTAAATAAATGTTCACTACAATAAAATACATTTCTCTGTTTGTCTTCTTGCGTATGGAACTTTTGGAGAGCTAAATGTCAATGTTGAGGTCTGCTGCCAATGAAAGGGCTTCAGGAGAGAGCTTATGCAGTCCTGTTATTCCTCCATTGAAGAGACGGAGACCATACTGCCTTATTATGTGCTCCATCATTTGGGTTCACAGTTCCATTGCTTTTTTAGTATTACAGTTTTTTTTTTCTCCTAAACAAGTTAAATTCATACACAAATACTTTTGACATACATGAAACTATTTTGTTTTTGTGTATGTATATGTGTAGAGGTGTTACGGGAGGGTGACACGTGGTTGTATAACGGTGGCCACAAACACGTCCGCTACGGCCACCACCCTGGGGGGCTGTGGGGGACGCTGTAATCCCTCCCAGCCCCACTCCTCAGTGAGGGACAGTATAAAAGGTGGGACCCGGGGAGCTGAGAGGCAGTTCGACTCAAGCAAGATGAAGAGCCAGTGAAGAAAGAAGATCGACTAGCCAGACCCTGGAACTCCTTTGGCCCGCTGTCCTTTTGAGGGCCGGGCAAAGCAAGCCAGGGGTGCGACACCGGAGCCGCGAGGCCCGATGTCCTTCTGAGGGCCAGACTCGTGTGGCTGGTGATCGGGACCTGCGCCGAAGCTGGGCCAGGTCAGACAGCCTCCTGAGGACTAGGATAGAAGGAACCAGGGAGCTAGCGTGGGCTAAAGCTCGGGGAACGTTCCCTCTATAGAGAACGGGTGAAGAGGCCGTTACCTCTTCAAGTATCAGATTCGCCACTGTAATTGAAGCATCTGTAATAAATACGTGTTGCCTCAAGTGAACAGTCTCCGATGTCAATAAGGCCACTACATATGTTATGTTTTTCAGAGAAGTTTTCATTTATATTTTCACCCAGGCAATGCCAGGTACTTACCGCTAGTATATATATAAAAGTAAAAACAATTGTTTGTTTGTGGGTTTGCGTGAGGGTGTGTGTGTTCACGCGCTTGCGAAAGATTTGGCTCTCCAACGGTGGGGTTTACGTAAAAAAAAGATAGCCAGGTACCATGCCGTAAGCCCTGCGGTGAGCAAGCGCTATTCATTTTTCACATCCGTCAACTTTAAATTAGTTTAATTAGTGATTTAGTGCTACTTTTGCGTGCTTTCTATTTATTTATTTATGACGCGTGCACGACCATACCAACTCACGCGCCTTTGGTGTGGGGGACGGCCCATGCCAAGTCGCACGCCTTCGGTGGGAGTGAGGGGGACATTAACTTTCGCGTTAAAAATGCTATGAAAACACACTAAACGCTGAGGTAAATTCTTCACTGTGTGATGTCCCCCCCCACCCCGATGCGTGCAGTTATTACTACTATACAGTCGGTAGATGCTACGACTTTCGGCCGTAGCTATTACTGCAGAGCGGCCAGGGAGATCGTGGCGAGGGGGGGGGGGGTCAGGGGTAGCAGCCCAGCCCCAGCCTGCCAAGGTGCCACCACGGCCGGCTGGACAATCTAGACGAGGCCGAAGGCTCTGCATGGGACTAGGCTTCACCACGCTACTCTGTCAGGTGAGTACTTTGTGCTATAGAGTCGATAAATACTGCTATAGAGTCAGCATGTACTACTGTGGTCATAGCAGGTACCACCACAGTTGGTATGCACTGCTGTAATCATAGCAGGTACCACCACAGTATGCACTGCTGCAGTGAAAGCATGTACCACCACAATATGAACTGTTGTAATCATAGCAGGAACCACCACAGTATGCACTGCTGTAATGATAGCAGGTACCACCACAGTCAGTACGCACTGCTGTTAGATTTTTAAGAGTAGTTTAGAAATATTTTTTTGGCCCGGGAAACGCCGGGTACTTCCCACTAGTTTTCCTATAAAATAAAATTATTTCACCAAAACATTCTTTAAAACCTACAGAACATAAAGACGTATTATGTTGTCGAGGAGTATCGTGAGAAGGGCAGGGACACGATGACAGCTGTCGCTTATTTTCCATTTCAGAGCAACAACGGGTTCTCTACTCTCAGTAGTAGTAATAATATAAATTGGACTACCAAAATGTGTATGTATGTTGAACTTATTTCGCACTGTGCGTAGCCAACCATGCTAATCTCAAGATGCCGTGAATGAATGAAAGGAAAGATGTTGAAAAAAGAACTGGCAGGCAAAACAAGAACCAAAGGGAGAACAAAACGAATGAGGAAAAAAGCTAGTTTATTTTTTCGTCACAGGATTCAGACGAAATTTATCGAGGTGTCAGCGCTCTCCGAGGCTTGACCTCCATCGGTAGAGGGGAGTTCCACGACCGGGGATCCACCATAGTGAACGTTCGCTCATGCCGAGAACGCGATCGCGATCGTGATGTCCGCAGATCTTTGAGGGGCCCCGCCGAGGGCATGAGATCGAATTGGCTCGTGAATATAACAGTGGCGAGATGTTGACCACCACGCCTCCTATGCAGGAGGGTATTGGGTTAGATCCCGATAATGACGCCTGTATATTTGGAGTTTGAATGTCTCTCTCTCTCCGTGGTTGCGTGGATTTTTCTCCGGGTCCTCCGGTTTTTCCCTTCACATTTAGAAACATGCGTTTAGAATATTTGGCTACTATGAATTTCTACATGATAATCCACTTCATTGAGCTATTATTTGTGGCCAGGTCCTTTCTAAAAGAAGCGCTATATATCTCTCTGTGGGCATTACCTGGTAAAATAAAAAAAATAGTTACAGGCCTTAAAATATGAACCAACATGATCTTGAATCTCACTCAACGAGAGAAATGCTGAGCCGATGCAACGGAGCAAGAAGAGGAGAGACGTGCAAGGAAGTACTGTGGCTACCGCACTCTACAGCAGAATGTACCCCGACAGTGACCTTCTTACTACTGAGGTCCCCAATCGATGAGGAATTGCAAGAGTCAATTCGTGAAAACACACAAATGTGATGACCGGCCATCGCTCCATCGGCAGACGTAGCCGAGAAACTTATTTCAAGGTGGGAACACGAGATCTTCACGGCATTGTTTACCTCTGCCTCGAAGGAAAGAGACTAGCGGTGCAGCAAGTGTACTAATTTACAGCTGCATTCCATCCGCACGGAGACGATGTGCTTCCCTGTCCGGTTATATTTTTAAATATCAAAATTAAGAATACTCATGGCAATTATTGGTAAAGAAGTAAAAAAATACAAATATTGGTAAAAAAAAATCCCACATTAAAAACACCAGATAAAAATGTCTATCAAGAAAAGCAGTAAGTTTAACGTCAAAGGGGGGGGGGAAGTGGAGAGGTTCGATTGATCATCGGTGATGGCGTGGGCAGTTACGAGCCCCGCCGCAAGCTCCGTGAATGTTCGCCACGAGGAATCAGAAGCCAGGGAAGAGGTAGAAACGACGCCTGAGGCTATTCCTCTCATCCACAGGCATTTGCGGTGGGTCCTTCATGGAGCACTTGTCCTTTACCTGCGGGGTTGGGGAAGGGGAGGGGTCGTGATCGTGCAAGGGGTTAACTCACCACGTATTAACAGAGTGAACTCGCTCATTATCAATTACCAAATCACCCGAATGTGCTTGATCCATCTAGAGCAGTGTTTCTCAACCTTTTTTTGGCTTCTATTGTACCCCTTGTTGAATTTTGTTTCAACCGAGTACCCCCTTACCTGACCCAACATGGTTCTGAGAAATAAATGTACGAATAATGAAAATCATTATTTTGACCAATTGTCCATTTTGTGAGGTATCCTATCTAGTAACTGCAAGCGAATAAAAAAAAATGCAACAGACACTGCAGGCGTGATGTAATTTGTTTGCGCTCCCTGGTTACGCTTGGAAACCACATTGTTCATTATCAATGAGTTTAGAAATGTCTTTTATATCGTTCTTGGTTACCATATGCATTCAAATGTTATCGTAGTTATTTTATATTGGCAGATTCATACATGATTATTCAATGTCTCTCAAGCATTATATAATTTCACACATTTATAAATTACCTCACATACCCCCTGGGACATTGCTACGTACCCCCAGGGATCCGCATATACCCCGATTGAGAACCGTTGCTTGAGACCTTGAAAGCTGAGCAGATTTGAGCCTGGATAGTGCTTGAATGACCAACCACCATGCATAGAAAGCAGGTGGTGTTGTATGTGTTGTATGTACTTTGTACTTCTTTCGCACCGTAGATAGCTAACCATGCTCATCAGTCTAGATTTGAAGTTTTAGTGACTGCAAGGATCCATACTCTTTGGTTCTTTCGGTAAAGTCACGTGGGTGTAAAATAAAATCAATTAAATCACGACGTTTCAGGCGCAACACAAGCGTCCGTCATCAAGTGGGACAACCACAGCAAGAAACAATTGCTGAAGTGGGCAAAAGGGCTGCTGTAACAAGAGGTTATATAGGCAAGAGAGGGGGGGAGGAGCCTGGGAGGAGAGACAGAGAGGGGGTGTGGGGTAGGGGGAGTGGAGCGCTGCCGAGTGAAGAGCAGCTAGAAGGGATTAAAGGGCGAGCAGAGACAAAATGTCGGGGGGTGGGGAGGGGAAGAGAGCGGGGCTGAGAGTGGGGTGCTGAAGCAACAGGGGATGTGGATATGAAGGCAACACCATAAAGCATTTAAGGTTTTATCTGGTTAATAACATCCTTCCAATGATTGCTCAATTTGTATCCATCTTCTCAGTTGAAGTTACGTCTATGTTAATATATCTGGATGGCTTAATGAACAAACCTTTGATAGTAGGCCGAAAGTTTGCAGAGTACCTTGGTCTCGGAAAAAAACAATATCATGAGAGCCCACATCGTTACAGCAATGGTCAGCCACGGCGGAACTATTAGTCCTGCCGTGTTTCAGATCTGACTTGTGCTCGCGAACACGGTCCGAGACATGTCGTTTCAGTTCCCCAATGTAACAATCACCACAGGTGCAACTTAGTTTGCAGACTCCAGGATATTGCATGTCAGGAATAACATCCTTCACAGATGGGATTACATCACGGATTTTGTGTACTGTACTGAATCGGACCTGGATCTTGTGTTTGTTTAAGATTTTGGAAATATTTTTGGTAACGCCTGCTATGTATGGTAGCGTGATGGTTTTGATCGGCATCTCAGGGTGTTGTTTCTCCATGGTTGGATAAACAGCTTTGCGGATAATGCAGTTCGAATATCCATTCATCTTCAGGGCCTGGGGTACGTGTTCCAGTTCACTGGCTAGGTGGTGTTGGTCAGAAATGCAATGGGCCCTATGGTGTAGTGTTTTGATGAGGGAATTCTTCTGTGCTGGATGGTGCTGGGAATCAGGTTTCAGATAGGAATCTGTGTGGGTGGCTTTCCTCTAGATAGAGTGTCCCAGAGAGCCATCAGGTCTCTTCTCAAACAAAACATCCAGGAATGGTAGCTACCATCCTTCTCCATTTCCATGGTGAATTTGATGGATGGATGGGTGTATAGAATTAATGTGGTTGAGAAATTGGTTCAATGCTGGCAGGCCATGTGGCCAAATGAGGAAAGTGTCATCCACATATCTCTTCCACAAGGAAGGACATAGGGTGGATGTCTCGATGGCATCTGTTTAAAATTTCTCCATGAAAACGGCACAGAATAATTCCCTCATCAAAACACTACACCATAGGGCCCACTGCATTTCTGACCAACACCACCGAGCCAGAGAACTGGAACACGTACACCAAGCCCTTAAGATGAATGGATATTCGGACTGCATTATCCGCAAAGCTGTTTCTCCAACCATGGAGAAACAACCCCCTGAGACGCCGATCAAAACCATCACGTTACCATACATTGCAGGCATTACCAAAAATATTTCCAAAATCTTAAACAAACACAAGATCCAGGTCCGATTCAGTACAGTACACAAAATCCGTGATCTAATCCCATCTGTGAAGGATGTTATTCCTGACATGCAATATCTTGGAGTCTGCAAACTAAGTTGCAACTGTGGTTATTGTTACATTGGGGAAATGAAACTACATGTCTCGGACCGTGTTCGCGAGCACAAGGCAGATCTGAAACACGGCAGGACTAATACCTCTGCCATGGCTGACCATTGCTATAACGCTGTGGGCTCTGCAAACCTTCGGGCTACTATCAAAGGTTTTTTCATTAAGCCATCCAGATATATAAACATAGACGTAACTTCAACCGAGAAGATGGATACAAATTGAATAATCATTGGAAGGATGTTATTAACTGGATAAAACCTTAAATGCTTTACGGTGTTGCCTTAATATCCGCATCCCCTGTTGCTTCAGCTCCCCACTCCCAGCCCCGCTCTCTTCCCCTCCCCACCCCCCGACATTTTGTCTCTGCTCGCCCTTTAATCCCTTCTAGCTGCTCTTCACTTGGCAGCGCTCCACTCCCCCTACCCCAAAACCCCCCCTCTCTGTCTCTCCTCCCTGGCTCCTCCCCCCCTCTCTTGCCTATATAGCCTCTTGTTACAACAGCCCTTTTGCCCACTTCAGCAATTGTTTCTTGCTGTGGTTGTCCCACCTGATGACGGATGCTTGTGTTGCACCCGAAACGTCGTGATTTAATTTATTTCATTTTATACCTACGTGACTTTACCGAAAGAACCAAAGAGTATGTGCTCATCAGTGTTTGTTGGTGGTAAAAAGGAGTGCATGTAAATCGATTGTTCCGTATTTCCATAGTTGAATGCACGGTGCTAAACATATAGCAACCTTACTCTTTGGTTCTACTCAGTAAAGTCACGTATGTAAAAAATAAAACAACAAAAATCACGTGACTTTGCCGAATACAACCAAAGAGTATGGATCCTTGCAGTCACGAAAGCTTCAAATCTAGAATATAGCAACCTGTTTAGGTTTATTGGCAGCGTCTAGCATCTACTTAGGGACCACATATATCATCTGAAAATGAAACTAAGGTCAACCTTTTTAAAAAGAAAAAGTGAGCAAAATTTTAAAACAGAAAAACACATGATATAAAAAGTAAAGGTGACTTTGCAAACCCAACAATGAACAAAACATGAAAATAAAATTAAGTGTTGTGTTGACATCGCTACGACGGCGGCCATGGTGATGGTGCCGTAAGCTGCTGGAAGATCTACCGTTTTGCTAAATGGTGCCTCTATTGTGCATTTGCAGGAGGCTGAAGTGGAGTAACTCACTCTGGTGAACAGTTCCTGCACGTGCTCTGTGCAAGCATGCTCCTTCATCACCTCCACCAGATGCTGGATCAGGAAGCTGCCTTTGATTCGGCTCCGGTATGATACGTCGTCTGCAGCAAGTTGGGGAGTGGGGAACACAGGGGGAGACATGGGTTATAGACTCTGCTCAGAGAGACATGGATTTCAGACTCTGCTCAGACAGACATGGGTTTCAGACTCTGCTCAGACAGACATGGGTTTCAGACTAAGCTCAGACAGACATGGGTTTCGGACTCTGCTCAGACAGACATGGGTTTCAGACTCTGCTCAGACAGACATGAGTTTCAGACTCTGCTCAGACAGACATGGGTTTCAGACTCTGCTCAGGCAGACATGGGTTTCAGATTCTGCCCAAATGGACATGGGTGTCAGACTCTGCTCAGACAGACATGGGTTTCAGACTCTCCTCAGACAAACATGGGTTTCAGATTCTGCTCAGACAGACATGGGTTTCAGAGTCTGCTCAGATGGACATGGGTGTCAGACTCTGCTCAGACAGAGATGGCCGTCTAGAATGCTCTGCCTTCCGATATTAGAAAGTCAATGGAGTACTTTTAAATTTAGATTGAAAACTATTTTTTTAAACTGCTTTTGTGTACAGTTTTTGTCCTTCCGCCGCACCTCCAATTAGCCCGGTTGGCTACGTACGGTGCAAAACAAGGTCAACAAACATACATACCCAGTCTTAACCCGATCTCGAATGCTGTGCTTTGTGTGGGCACGGACATTTATGCACAACAAGTGATTTAGGTCCAGAGATTGCATGCTCCTTATTTGTCTACGTTTCAGTTTTATTGCCGCCGTTAATAAGCAGAGTGTAAATATCTTGACTTTTTTAACTCAAGCAAAAATTATATAACCAATACATTGTGCAAGTTTAGGTATGTTCTTTGTTGTTGTATTAAATAGCATGGGTTCAGCAATTACATCAGCCTACCTCCCGCTCTGCTAGTGGGGACCCTGCACTCTCCGCCGAGTTCTGTCGTTGGGAGGTTTTGCTGTACAGGCTGTGATTGAACACTAGGCTGGTGGATCCATCTCTTTGAGTAAGCTCAAGTGTCCCGTCAATCACGTGACTTCTGTGTGGCCACGCCCACTTTTAATGTTCCCCTCTCCCCGCCGCCCCCTGTGAAAAAAGACACTCGCCTATACAGAGAGGGAAAAAAGTATTTGATCCCCTGCTGATTTTGTACGTTTGCCCACTGACGAAGAAATGATCAGTCTATCATTTTAATGGTAGGTTTATTTGAACAGTGAGAGACAGAATAACAACAATAAAATCCAGAAAAACGCATGTCAAAAATGTTATAAATTGATTTGCATTTTAATGAGGGAAATAAGTATTTGACTCCTATGCAAAACATGACTTAGTACTTGGTGGCAAAACCCTTGTTGGCAATCACAGAGGTCAGACGTTTCTTGTAGTTGGCCACCAGGTTTGCACACATCTCAGGAGGGATTTTGTCCCACTCCTCTTTGCAGATCTTCTCCAAAACATTAAGGTTTCGAGGCTGGCATTTGGCAACTCGAACCTTCAGCTCCCTCCACAGATTTTCTATGGGATTAAGGTCTGGACACTGGCTAGGCCACTCCAGGACCTTAATGTGCTTCTTCTTGAGCCACTCCTTTGTTGCCTTGGCCATGTGTTTTGGGTCATTGTCATGCTGGAATACCCATCCACGACCCATTTTCAATGCCCTTGCTGAGGGAAGGAGGTTCTCACCCAAGATTTGACGGTACATTGCCCCGTCCATCGTCCCTTTGATGCGGTGAAGTTGTCCTGTCCCCTTAGCAGAAAAACACCCCCAAAGCATAATGTTTCCACCTCCATGTTTGACGGTGGGGATGGTGCTCTTGGGGTCATAGGCAGCATTCCTCCTCCTCCTCCAAACACGGCGAGTTGAGTTGATGCCAAAGAGCTGCATTTTGGTTTCATCTGACCACAACACTTTCACCCAGTTGTCCTCTGAATCATTCAGATGTTCATTGGCAAACTTCAGACGGGCATGTATATGTGCTTTCTTGAGCAGGGGGCCTTGCGGGCGCTGCAGGGTTTCAGTCCTTCACGGCGTAGTGTGTTACCAATTGTTTTCTTGGTGAATATGGTCCCAGTTGCCTTGAGATCATTGACAAGATCCTCCCGTGTAGTTCTCATTATCATTGCAGCTCCACGAGGTGAGATCTTGCATGGAGCTTCAGGCCGAGGGAGATTAACAGTTCTTTTGTGTTTCTTCCATTTGCGAATAATTGCACCAACTGTTGTCACCTTTTCGATTTAAAGCTTTCGTGACTGCAATGATTCATCTTCTTTGGTTCTTTCGGTAAAGTCACGTAGAATGAGAATAAAATAATAAATTGATAAAATAAAATAACACAATAATATTCTCACGACGTTTCGGCCACAACACAAGCGGCCTTCATCAGGTGAAGGGAGCGAGACTGTCTGGTAGGACAGCGCTGGAGTGAGAGAGCCACGTTCAGATCACGGCTTTTAAGCTGTGTGAGAGGAACAAAGAGCCTTGACGAAGGAATTAGCATAAAATTTAGCATTGAAAAGGCTGAATGATTAGCTTGTGACTGGTCACAGAAATAGCTATGTTAAAAGTTAAAGCATGCACATCCGCAGAGGCACCCATTGTTAAAAGGAATTAGCATAGAATTTAGCATTGAAATAGCTAAATTAAGGCATTCGCTTGTAACTGCTACAGAAATAGTTACGTTGAAGTCAGAGCATACACATTCACCGAGGCACTTAGTACAAATCAAAACAGGAGAATTTAGCATTGAAATAACTAGGCGAATTTAGCATTGAAATAACTGGGTGATTTGCTGGTGACTGGTCACAGAAATGACTAACCCATCTGAGCTATTCACAGTACTATATAGTGAACCAATAAAAACTAAAATATAAATTACCTTCATGTTATCAATAAACTCTATATTCTCCAATCAGCTAAGCTACCAACCATAAGTCGTTATATATCACAATGCTATATGGCGAAAAAATGGGTGGATTCTTACCCTCAAATTTCCGTACCACGGATAGCTACGGGCCCCGTTCAGACGGACGAGTTCGTCCATGGTCGGAACAGAGGAGGGGGAGAGAGACAGCTGCGAAGCCCTAGTATACTCCATGTTGTAAACCATACCATTAACCGTGGTGTGAGAGGTATTAAGAGGCAATGCTGGCGAAAGAGCTGCGGTCTGAAGGTCATCGTAAAATTACAATTAATTAAGAACAGAAATGATTTAACACATCTTTCCAGTGGTTACTAAGCCTGAATCCATCTTCTCGGTTGAAATTGTCTCTGTGCTTGTATATGTGAATGGCCTCATGAACGAATCTCTCATGGTAGCCAGTTGGTTTGCAAAGAACCTCCGTCTTGGAGAAGTCAATGTCATGTGAGCCCACTGAATTGTAACAGTGATCTGCCACGGCAGAGGAGTTCGTCTTACCGTGTTTCAAGTCTGCTTTATGTTCGCGGATGCGGTCCGAGATATGTCTTTTGGTTTCTCCAATGTAGCTACTACCACAAAGGCACTTTAGTTTGTAAACGCCCGGGTACTGTATGTCTGGAAGAGCATCTTTTACAGATGGAACTAAATCACGGATTTTGTGTACTGTGTTGAATCGGACCTGGATCTTGTGTTTATTCAGGATTTTGGAGATCTTTTTAGTGACCCCTGCAATGTAGGGTAAGGTGATGGTTTTGAGTGGCTCCACAAGAGGATCCTTCTTCATGACTGGAGTGATGGCTTTGCGGATTGTGTAGTCGGAGTAGCCATTAGCCCTGAGAGCCTGGTGTACGTGCTTGAGTTCACTGGTAATGTGTTCCTGGTCGGAAATGCATTGGGCTCTATGGTATAGAGTCTTGATGAGGCAGTTCTTCTGGGATGGATGGTGGTGGGAATCCGGTTTCAAGTAAGCATCTGTATGGGTAGCTTTCCTGTAGACAGAGTGGCTCATTGAACCATCATGTCTCCTTTTAATTAAGACATCCAGAAAGGGTAGTTTGCCATCTTTTTCGACCTCCATGGTAAATCTGATGGCTGGGTGTATGGAATTGATGTGGTCGCGGAATTGGTCTAGAGCAGGCTGGCCATGTGGCCAAATGACAAAGGTGTCATCAACGTACCTCTTCCATAAGGTCGGGCGTAGAGTGGCAGTCTGGATGGCGTCAGTTTCAAATTTTTCCATGAATACGTTGGCTACAACCGGAGAAAGGGGGGAGCCCATTGGGGTGCCCTCAGTTTGTTTGTAGAAAGTTCCATTCCAGGTGAAGTATGTGTTGGTTAAGCAATGTCTCACCAGGGGGGGTACATCAGTATGCAGTCCTTGATGAACCAATGGGCTCCCCCCTTTCTCCGGTTGTAGCCAACGTATTCATGGAAAAATTTGAAACTGACGCCATCCAGACTGCCACTCCAGACATACAGTACCCGGGCGTTTACAAACTAAAGTGCCTTTGTGGTAGTAGCTACATTGGAGAAACCAAAAGACATATCTCGGACCGCATCCGCGAACATAAAGCAGACTTGAAACACGGTAAGACGAACTCCTCTGCCGTGGCAGATCACTGTTACAATTCAGTGGGCTCACATGACATTGACTTCTCCAAGACGGAGGTTCTTTGCAAACCAACTGGCTACCATGAGAGATTCGTTCATGAGGCCATTCACATATACAAGCACAGAGACAATTTCAACCGAGAAGATGGATTCAGGCTTAGTAACCACTGGAAAGATGTGTTAAATCATTTCTGTTCTTAATTCATTGTAATTTTACGATGACCTTCAGACCGCAGCTCTTTCGCCAGCATTGCCTCTTAATACCTCTCACACCACGGTTAATGGTATGGTTTACAACATGGAGTATACTAGGGCTTCGCAGCTGTCTCTCTCCCCCTCCTCTGTTCCGACCATGGACGAACTCGTCCGTCTGAACGGGGCCCGTAGCTATCCGTGGTACGGAAATTTGAGGGTAAGAATCCACCCATTTTTTCGCCATATAGCATTGTGATATATAACGACTTATGGTTGGTAGCTTAGCTGATTGGAGAATATAGAGTTTATTGATAACATGAAGGTAATTTATATTTTAGTTTTTATTGGTTCACTATATAGTACTGTGAATAGCTCAGATGGGTTAGTCATTTCTGTGACCAGTCACCAGCAAATCACCCAGTTATTTCAATGCTAAATTCGCCTAGTTATTTCAATGCTAAATTCTCCTGTTTTGATTTGTACTAAGTGCCTCGGTGAATGTGTATGCTCTGACTTCAACGTAACTATTTCTGTAGCAGTTACAAGCGAATGCCTTAATTTAGCTATTTCAATGCTAAATTCTATGCTAATTCCTTTTAACAATGGGTGCCTCTGCGGATGTGCATGCTTTAACTTTTAACATAGCTATTTCTGTGACCAGTCACAAGCTAATCATTCAGCCTTTTCAATGCTAAATTTTATGCTAATTCCTTCGTCAAGGCTCTTTGTTCCTCTCACACAGCTTAAAAGCCGTGATCTGAACGTGGCTCTCTCACTCCAGCGCTGTCCTACCAGACAGTCTCGCTCCCTTCACCTGATGAAGGCCGCTTGTGTTGTGGCCGAAACGTCGTGAGAATATTATTGTGTTATTTTATTTTATCAATTTATTATTTTATTCTCATTCTACGTGACTTTACCGAAAGAACCAAAGAAGATGTTGTCACCTTCTCACCAATTTATAAAAAAATTACATGCGTTTTTCTGGATTTTGTTGTTGTTATTCTGTCTCTCACTGTTCAAATAAACCTACCATTAAAATTATAGACTGATCATTTCTTTGTCAGTGGGCAAACGTACAAAATTTAGCAGGGGATCAAATACTTTTTTCCCTAACTGTAACTGATCGAAGCTAATAGAATAAACTCAACTATAAACTTTTTTTTTTATTTTACGAGGTAAGACCAACTGAGCTATATAGCTGTTTCTCAGAAGCAACCTGACCACAAATGACAGCTCAACAAAGTGAATCTAAATGTGGATGGAATAACCGGACGACCCAGAGGAGATTGCACGCTACCATGGGGAGAGAGAGGGACATGCAAACTCCAAATATACAGCAGGCGACAGGGTCGAGGATCGAACCCACGACCTCCTGTACACCAGGCGAGGTAGTCGACATCTCGCCACCGTGACGCCACACCGCCCTCTCATCCCCGACATCTTGACCTGGCCATTCCTATTCTCCTCTTCTCCTTCCTGCCCGGAGTTCCTTACCGTGGTTTGAGCTGAAAAAAACTTTTCTAGGCGTGAAGGGGCGCAGCCCTCTAAGCCTGTGCCGTGACGATGCCCGGGGGCGGGTGAAGGGACAGGGGCTATGTGACCTCACCAGGCAGCGTGGAGTAGAGGCAGGTCATGTCGCTCTCCCGGGGCACCCTACAGCCACCCGTCTCCCAGTTCGCGTCCACCACCTCTTTCGGTGCCGCTGAGTCCGTGGCAATGTCAACTACCGACAATGCAAGGCGGTCCGATATTAGAATTCCATTCCAGTCATGCAGTATGAACACGTTATGCTCGTACGTTACAGTGAGCTTTACCTACGATGCTGCACAAATTTGCTTATAATAATCGTTCATTACTTCTCTATGCTGTATGCCATTGGCACATAGCAATCCTGCATCCACTATACAATTTACATGTACTGCAATGACAAAATATTATCATTATTAATAATCATATTCTGTAAATGTATTCAAATCATGCGCGAACGGTGGACGAGATAAATCGTCACGATACAATCAATCATGACACGAGCGCCAGGACTGCTGGCTTCACAGCGAGCTCACCCCTGCATGCCTGCACGATGATAATTTTGGGCTTGTCCTTCAGGCCCGGGCAGTTATTGTTGTTAAGCGCTGTGTAGATCGTCTCGATGCTCAGCAGGTCATTTTTGCCCTTTCCGAAGACCCCTCTGTTGCAGCCGTGGGACATGACAACTACAAAGGTGCTGTCCGAATGCATATGCTCGTCCATCTTCGCAAACTTCTTCACGAGGTTTTCAATTTCCTAAAGATGAAGAAAAAAGCGTGGACGGATGATTTAATCCGGCCCTTTATTGCTCAATTTTAGACGACCCTTTATTTCTGTGCTTTTTATCGGGTAGGTATTTTTACTTTGTATGTTATTTAAATAAGAGACGCAAAGATCCGGGGTGCTCGGCTTCTGAGTGACCGACGTGTCCGGGCATCATTGTGGTGATCCCCAGCAGTGATCTAGGGAGCGAGAGACAAAAGGGGGAGAGAAAAAGGCACACAAATAGGAAAGGGAAACGGAAGGGGACAGAACAAAGAGAGGAGCCAAATGAGGAGTGAAGCAATGAAAGGAGACCGCTCTCTTCCTATGAGTGAGAGATCCGTGCAATGTTGTCCCCTGAGTGTCCAAGGGTGGATATCAAATTGCACGAGGTTTTAGAAAATGTGTTCCAACGTGGGTGATTCAAAAGATCTCGTATTGCCGAGGCTGAATGTGGGGCTGAGGAACCCTTCATGGTGGCCTGGTCTAGGTCTATCAAGTGGCAGCGGGTGTTAAACGCAATTGGACAGAGGCGCCGGTTTGGATTCAAATGCACCTCCCGTGGGCTACACTGTGGAGCACTATGAAAATTAAAAGCATAGTAATCCGGTATTAATTTACCGATTAAAAATCCGAAAGCGTGGGGGGAAAAAAAAGTATTTTTATTTTTGCTTTGCGGCAGGGCGTGCCAAATCCCACGTGTTTCATTATCTGGTTTAACTTCAGGTTGACTTTAGGGAGAAGTAAAGATATATATAAGTTGTAAAAATTAAAATTGGCCAGAGGAAGGTGCTTGTGGGGGCCAGAGCGGGTCGATGGGCCGTATGTTTGACACCCCTGGTCTAGGATGATACGCAGGGTCACCATTAGTACAGAAGCACGATTTCAAGCTTGCGGCCCACCGAGGTGGAGGAGGGCCGCTCGCGTGGCCCCCACCGGCTCGCGCGGCCCCCACCGGCTCGTCTGGGTTCCCCATCATTGCTTTAGAGCAGCTCTCTTTCTGGGCCATCGAGAGGAGGCCCCTTCTGCCAACAGCGGCTTGAGCAAGCAATCGCAGAGCTAAATTTTCACCACCTGTTGCATAGAAACACAAACCTACCTCTGCGCTTTGGTCTTTGTGTACAATCGGAGTGTAATCCAGCTCCTTGAAAAGCCACACCAAGTACTTAACATCCTCCTCAGAGCCATTACGCTTCAATAACCCTTCACCAGTAAAGTTCATATTGTTGATGATGAGGGCCTGCCTCTGTCTTGCTGGTCCACGTGGCCTCACCCGGTAAACCTGAAAAATGTGCAATTGTTCATTCAAATAAGACACAAGAACAACAACTTGGGTGCCATTTTCAATACCTTGCTGATCTTGTCAAGGAGCATAAACGGTTATCCTCGCAGCAGCAGTGGCTTTTGGATAACCATCGAACAAAGACGGTCACCAAATCGCGTGCTTTCAAATTCGCTTCTGCGGCCGTCTGGGTTGCTCTTCCTTCCAATATTAGGAAGCAACTGGAGCTATGCACTTTTAAATTGGCATGGTTGGCTATGGATGGTGGGAAAAAAATTAAACATACATGCATAAATTTTTTATTCCAATCTCAGAACATGGATCCACGACCATGCTATGCTTGGAATCTGCTTCTTTAAATGAATCACTGCCAATTCACCTCTCACTTCTGGACTGATAACACGCTCCTCAAAGTTCCTTTCTCGTGTGTCCTTACATTTCCACCCATCCCATTCCTCCTCTGAAAATAAGTGCAACCTTCCATGTCAGAGAACGGCCTACACAATGAGGTTTTATATAACTACTTCCGCAACATTTTCAAGGAACCCCTTATCCACACTCATAGCATTTCCACCACCATCCCACCACCCTCCAACTAAATGTTTTAAATTCTCAAGAGCTGGAATTTATCCAAATTAAATTAGACGTTTTCGTAGTCACTGGTGACTGAGTTGAGACCATCAACACCATCTGGGAATAAAGAGTATTTGGTTGCCGTTATACATTTCCACGCGAGATGCCACTTCGTTGAGCTATGATTTGTGGCCAGGTCCCTTCTAAAAAATAACTCTATAGCTCAGTGGGCCTTACCTGGTAAAGTTTGTTTTTTATAGTTTATAAAGTGAACGGGAATTATTCAAACTCCGTGTCGTTGAATGGATCTGCGAGCTGGCGACCCTCTGGCATCTCCAAGTACATATGTATGGAATTCTTTCGCACCGTACATAGCCAACCGTGGTCGCAAAGGAATCTGCCCCTCATCCGCATGCTTAAAGTTTAGTTTTAACTCTCTCCGCTTGAGAGCCTGGTTTACTTACGGGCGCATGACACTCCAATTCAAACCCATGATCTCAGAGGCTGCAGCCCATCGCCATACCTTCTGAATCAGCTGACCACCTCTCCAAGTGCCATTGTAATGACTGAGGATGGATAACGAGCTGAACTGTCATAGTTTGTATTTAAACACATTTGCTTTAATTAGTTTTAAATGTCATCCTGATTTCATAGGGACTTACATATTCTTCTCCCTTTGTTGAATTGTAAAAGTCTTCTCTTGATGCCTTCACTCTCTCTGTGCCTGAGGTCACACTATCCGTGACATCTTCTGAAAATGAAAAAAATCAGGCAGCCAATCCAATAATCGCAGTGGCAGATGCTTGGTCTTCAGACATGAGAGTTTCAGAAGAGATAACTTTTTTTGAGCACATAGCTCAAAATAATGAGCTACATTGTCGAAAATACATATTTAAAAAGCAATGACTCCCTTCAATATCCATTTTCTTTAGGAGCACAGATCCTATGCGGAGTGAATGCTCTACCACGTTTCATGGCAAGCAGTTGGGTTGCATAAAAAGATTGAGCAATATCAAACTTCTTGGTTCATTCGGTAAAGTCACGTAGAAGGGAAATAATAAAATAATACAAATAAAACATAATAAAATAAAATTCTCACGACGTTTTGGCCACAACGCAAGCAGCCGTCCTCAGGTGAAGAAACAGCGCTGTCGGAAAGACAGCATCCTAATGAACACTGCTAAGCTTGGCAGCGTATTTTTAAGCTGGGTGGGAGGAGGAGAGAGCCTTGACAAAGGAGTTTACATATCAACAGAGGAATTTAGCATATTGATGACAAATGCAGATATGGGGTTAGTCACTCCTTGCGGAATGTGTAGGCGGTGGGGGGGTCTCAAAGTCATATTATGCTAGTGTATTATGTAGGATTAGCAGTAAAGGGAGGGACATTTTAATAATAAAGAACTGTAGCAGCCAAACCACCGAGTATCAAGCTAGTGTATTATGTGGAAAACAAAAAAGGAGTTTCTAACGAACTACAAATATCATACTACCATACAATAAACCAATGGAAAAAACTAAAAACTAAATATAAACTACACCAATATAATCAATGTACTATATACTCTCCAATAAGCTGAGCTATTAACATAAAGTAACTAAGAATACACTACACTATATAATGAATACCATATAGTAAACTGATAAAAAACTAAAATATAAACTACATCAATATTATCAATAAACTCAATATACTCTCCAATCAGCTAAGCTACTAACAATAAGTCATTATACATTACAATTCTATGTCGAAAAAAGTGGCGGTTTCTTTTTCCTCAACGTTAGCACCACGGAAAGCGGCGAGCGTTGTTCAGACAGACGAGTCCATCTATGCTCGGAACGGAGGAGGGGGGAGAGAGAGAAACAGCCACGATGCGCTGCTCTGTCCTGTGTTGCGTTACAACTGTGCTATAAACTCGACTACTATACATTACAGTATTATACCTTCCAATCTAAACTACACTGTATAATATCTTATACACAGCCCAATATAAGCTCTAACATTATGCATTATATTGATATGCCTCCAACTAAACTTTTTTCTACATTACACGACTATACACCGTACTATACACTGCCATAGACAGACCCTAACATTGAATTATACACTGCGTTACTATACACTACCCTATACTTTAGACTATAACAATATTAGACTTGTAATATTACACTATGTGTTATTCTACCAACCCTAATGTATACCGAAAGAACCAAGAAGATGAATCCCTGCAGTCACGAAAGCTTTAAATCGAAATATCAAACTTAACCACAAACAGCAGTAATCGGGTAGTGAGAATCAGTGTAGCGGTATGGATGTGCAATCTTGCTTGAGTGCGGAAACATTTTAAAGGGGGTCTACATGGGTCACCCATTATCAGAAGAATCAGAATATTTATTTATACTGGATGAATCAGATGAGCTATAAAGCCCTTTTCCACAAATTTCCAGAAGGGACATTACGGCATGGCACCAACCACCAACATTCGCAGTTGACTGCCAGCTTTTCTCCCCCAAGACCCCGAGGCCTCGCCCCACCCTGCTTTATATCCCCTCGCTCCTCTTTCCTTCTTTCCCGCCAAACAAAATACATGAAAGTTGTCATTATTTCCAGATCAACCGGCATTTACATCACAGTCCCTACGGACTACCTGAAGGACCGTCGCGGACAACCGGTGGTCTGGGGAACCACACTCTGAGAACCACTGCTGGAGATGCGTGAAGTGAAGAAATGAGGGATCACAAGTCAGGCACATGGAGGTGGGCACTGTCGCGTGGCCTGTTGACAAGGATGAGACCGACTAGGTTCAGGAGCACGGTGGGATGCAGGCCGCTGAGACAGGGTGTAAGGTTGCCGGACGACCACTTGTGGGGGACGATATGTCGGTGGCACCTGCAGCAGTTTGGTAGGACACTGGGACTCGTAGCTGGGGCCTACCTGTTTTCAGAGTCATCAATACTTCGTACACGGGTTTTGTTTCACTCATCAAACGATCTCTCAGTGGAGTATTTTCTCTGCAGTATGGTAACAGCGTCTCCTTGAGAAATCTGGTGCAGACTCCTTCACCCATATCGATCAGATGGTCGAGCAAAAACCTTGGCAGCTCCGCACGTGGTTTTTCATCTAACATAATATATTCTGAATGATTGATAATATCTTCTGCATCAAGCCTGTCAAGGATTTCCTTTATGGAGGGATAAAGGATTGTCCGCAGATGAACTTTATATTTTTTTATCAATCGCAGGTTAGGATCACCAGACATCTTGAACAATTTTCTTTATCTGAAATGGAAAAATACATTATAATTATTGATATTACAAGATGTTCAAATATGCGTGTCCTAGTTACATGGCCGAATGGTCGTGCGTTCACCACTCATGGCATTTGTGGACAGTTAAAAGCCAGAGGGCGCCCTGATCATGACTGCATGTGTAATAACCTGAAAAGTAAGCAACAACCATTTTTCAGTGGATTTTAATGATCCCCTGACTTCAGTTACAAGAGTAGGCCATTGTGTGCTAGCATCAGGGTCCAAATTCGAAAATTACCTGCAAATGACTCAATTGGGTGTCTACACACAGGAGCAATCATCTCTTGCAAATGAGGGTCATCCTGAACTCCTGAGTTCTCACCTGGTTAAACAGAAAAATAGTCTTATGCTCTTATTGATGAAATGGCGGAAATACGGCGATTTAAATACTGGCCTGACCTTGCCCAAGTACAGTATATGCACAGCCCCTTTGTCAATCGACTGCCCAGTGAGGGCCTCCCCATGCCATAACATTCGTTTGGGATATTTGTCCATACTTCACCGGGCTGGTCGGTGAGAGTTGGGTGAACATAAAGAGCAGAGACTTGGGAGCGTTGGCGTAGAGTGCAGCAGTCACTCTGCCGACACACGTTTCCCGACAGCAACAATGCATGACAATTAGCCAGGCTCCAACCTGCTTGGCAATCGAGATCTCATGAGGGCGGGCGTAAGTCCGAGTGCCTTGGTTGATGGGCATGGGGCTGTGCTCGTGAATGTTAGGGGCCTGGAGTCAATCGTGGAAATTCAAAAGATTCCCATGGCAACGGACAATTTTTCCAAAGAATCATCTCAAATTAGTGCATTGGGTACTGGAAATTGTACTTCTAGCACAAGGCTATCACGAAGGAAAGTAGGTGCAATTTATGTTTCACAGACGACTATAAAGTGTGCAGTCGCTTCCACCATATAAATGTGAAATTCCAATGAATGAATGTTTTCCTTTAACCAGCAGGTGAATTAAACCCAGCAATTCCTCTTTTTCAGGGGCTATACGTGGGAGATGTATATACGTAGAGTATGTCGAACTTCTTTGCACCGTACGTAGCCAACCGTGCTAATCGCCGAATTTGAGCTGGGTTTTTCTCTTGACTTGTGAGAGTTGTGTGCTTGACATTACTGTTACTGTACCTTTCCGAGCCAAAACTACCTTGAACGAGAAATGATGAATCACGTTACGTGCAAGACGATTCGTTCTAGCTTAATCGAACATGATAGACAACACGTATCTCGCTTCATCGTTCCGTCTCTGTTCGGTGTCACACATCATATCTGTTCTCGACCCCATTTCTCTTTTCATCGCGTGAAGTGTGGATGGCTTCGCTGGCAGGTTGTCACGGAACAGACGTATGTGCCATGAGTGGACTAAGATGACTGGCATATGCACCGCATTTTAACCGACCGGAGCTCCGCTCGCTGGTGTGAGCGTCACTTCACCGTTGTTGCTGGAGAGTGACTGCCCTCAAGTACCCGGTAAACTCAAAAGTGCATCTAGCCTGGCACTTGCCAGTAGCGTCCCTTCAAGAGCCTCCACCGGAGATGCCGATCTCGACAAACCGCTGCTACCACAGTCATGGGCAAGTCCAATCAGCTGCACATGCCCTCCCGTACCGTGCCCGTATGAACCCCTCTCTATCAGGCCAAACATAAGCTGCTTGACCAGGCGGTGGCTGGGCATGTCGGCTAACATGCGCCAACACCGAGAGTTGGTACATCCATAAAGACAAAGATCCCCCGGCCCCTCTATAGCCTGGACAGACTGTTGGGGCAAGTGCTTGTTAGCGGGCAGCACCTTTTGAAGGAGGGCAAGAGCAACAGGAGGGGGTGGGTGTCCAGCACCACGCCGCGTTTGAGTTCACTCACCTTGCGTGCCTGGGCCAAGCACGAGTGATAAGGGAGGGGGTATGCGTGGCGCTCGACGCGGTGAACCGAAACCCAAAAGGAGGAAGCAAAACAAAAACTTCGATTTACGGGAAACGCGGTAACGTCACGTAACATTGTCCGCTTTTCCCGCATGCCTCGACCACAGGGTGGCGCTGTGTTAATGAATATTGTATCGGGACACCGTTGCTTTCATGATTAACAACTGAATGCCCGTGGTTCGCGGTGCGCGTGCAGTAAACGTGGCTGAATCAGAATACGCTGGAGGAATCCGATGAGCTATAAAGCTGTTTTTCTCCAGGGTTAATCGCTGCGTCGACTCATCGGTAAGCGATCCATCGAGTTTGCCCCCCTCCAACCCATTGATTATTGCGACACGTCAACCGCCTCCTCTTTTTGTTAATTGTCAGCCCGTTGTTTTATTATATCGCATTACACCGCACGTGCAGCCTCACAGCTGAGTGTGGGGCCGTCCATAAATGACGTCACGCGATTTTGGACGATTTTTGACCCCCCCCCCTAGTCACACGAAGTCACTAAAAGTCAGACCCCCCTCAAATATGACGTCACAAAGCTCTGCCCCCCCCCTCCCCCAATAAATAAAACATGCTTCAAAACTCTCTAAACTATTGTCATTGTAGTGCGTATTTAATGTGGCGCTACACTCTGATGTAGGAGAAAACATTTATTAAAAAGTTTATTTAATTAAGTAGAACGTGTTGTCTATATTTATTTAAAGTTGCGCATTTTGATGTGACGTCACATTTCTCAACCCCCCCCCCCCCATCGTCACACATCGTCACAAATGTCTGCCCTCCCCCCAGGTGCGTGACGTCATTTATGGACGGCCCCTGTCCCCTGTGTTCGATTCCTGACTTGGGCGCCTTCTCTTCCTAGAATTGGTCTATTCTCCCCCCTGCTCTGTGAGAGTGGTGCGCGCGCGTGCGTGGAGGAGGAGGCTCGTGAAGGACCCCCACTGGGCAGGTTGGGAGGCAGTCGCCCTCCAACAACAAGAACAAAAGGGCAGAGGAGCGACGCTCACAACAACGAGCGGAGCGCCGGGCCGATAAATACGGCAAAGTTAGCACAGCAGGGGGCACAGCTGGGTGCATCTACCGGTCATCTCAATCAGCCAACCCATGGCACCTGCTGGGTCTGTCCCGTGACCTCCTCTCAGCGTGTATTCGACACTTCAGGTGGCCTCAAAGTGCACCTAGCCTGGCACAAGCGCCGTGGTGACATCACTGCCACTTCGTGGCAAACGGCGACTGTTGTGTGTGACTGGAGGGGAATGCCTTCATAGGTCCTTTCTAACAGCCCTTGCTCCTACAGTCTGTTCAGGCCTTACGGGAGATCTTTTGCGCGTGTGTGTGGGGAGCGGTGGCGTAGTGGTTAGCGCGCCGCGCTACGAACCCGGCGACCCGAATTCGATTCCCGCTCACGGCCAACGCCAGTGGCGATCATCTGAATAGGTCCTGGGCCCTCTCCTAGGTCGACTCAGCCTCAAATGAGTACATGGTGCGATGTGTAAAGATCGCCACTGGGGAGACAAAGGTGGCCGGGCGTGGTGTTGGCCAACAACCCCCCTCGTGTGCTGTGCGAGCATTCATAGGTGCTCACTAACAGCACTTACCATGAAAGTATGTTAATGATATACGAAGGAGCTTTGTTTTTTTTTGGTAAGTGGACTTTTTATGTTATCCATTTGTTCTGCATTAATTTCCTCCGGGTTCTCCGGTTTCCTCCCATAGCTAAAACAAATACATACAATGTAACTGGTATTGCCCAAAGTACAGTATCTCATTGCTGAAACATTACCTCGAAATTACTCAATTGGGATTACACGCAACATCGCCCGCTGCTGTGAAAACTTGGCAGGACCCTGCTGAAAATGGGTTTGAAGCTCAGTGAAGCTATCTCGGGGTAAACAAGCGTAATAAAAAGTATTATAGTTTAAAGTCTTTGTAATAAATGACACAGACACGCAGTCATACAAAGGGACGGCTCTGTTGTGGTGGGTACGTGTGTGTATCTTTGGAGTGAGCCACACCATTATACAATATATCATCGATAACCACAAGCTCTGGATCGGATTTGACACACAGTGTCTCATCAGCAAGTCGATGCTGGTGAACTGCCAGATGATGGAGACAATGTCCCTCACGTTAAAATATGGATCATATTTCGAAGCTAAATAATACAATACACAGATCACAATTACAAATAGTGTAGTTGGCAAAATAGAAAAGCAGATAATGTCTCCTTAATATATCTATCTCTCCACGTACAAATATAATCAATTCACGGCCTATTTATTCTGAGGAACTGGAGATGCTTCTGCTGAACCTGGAGAATACCACTAAGAGGGGCGACCTTTATCATCATCCCCACGAAAATCAAGCACCTGCCTGGATATTGTATCATAAAATACATTTTCCATAATAAAAAATACTCTACACTCTGAATTATCCATGAGTAATGGGGCAGTTGTGGCTAGATTTGAGGAGTCACATCTTTGGGCAGTTGTGCTCATGACCAGTTCCGGTTTGGCATCAGAGGATGTTTTTGATATATAGTTATTTTATATATATAGTTTCATCGGTTGTATAACGCTATTCCCGGCGATAGTTATTCCCTCTCTTCTCTCTGTTTGTGAAACGTTGACCCCTTGAAAGGAAGATCTGCGCCGCCATGAAACATTCAGACTGGATAGCCTACGATTCACCCTGGGTTTAACTAGATCGGATTGTGTGAGGAGCTCACATATCCTTGCAAGGTTTGGACACGTTCCCAATCAGTGAGCTCCTCCGAACAGGCGAGGCTGCGTTGAAATAGGTCGTGTAGCCTGCATGCCCAGCCACCGCATTTCCAAGCAACTTCTGTTTGGCCGCATGGAGGGAGCAAAACGGGCTACGGCAGGGGCTATAGCAGAGATTGGTTAATGCGGTGTGAAACTTAGTCGACTTGCCCAGTAGCGTCCAGCTCGTGCAGGAGGCTGCTGGTCCGCTGAAGGCAGTCGCAACAACGGAGTTGATTAGAGGAGCGACGCTCATAACTATCCGAGTGCTGGACGATCCATGGCATGTTGGCACATTGGGCAGCACAAGTGTTGTATATGCCAGTCAACTCGTAACACCTGGATGAGTCCTGCGACTTCCTCAGTCATGTACGCCCGTAACAATTATTTACGTATAACTAGCGGCACCTTGAAGTCCACTCCACTCCCGTGGCTTCCTGTGCTGGCGAACATCGCTCCAGCAAACATCCGACGTGACGCAGCGACAATCCGGGTGTACACCAAGCTAATGGAAAACTTCGCCCTGCCGCTCCACCAAGACATAAAGGAACCCCCAAGCCCTCGGCTTAAATCCAGGAAGGCTTTCTGGATACGCGCCTCTGCTCTGGCAACTGAAAATAAAGACGCCGGCACTCAATGGCCTGGGATTCTCTCACGACGGCTGTGGACCACATTGAACCACGCTCGGACACAGCACGGGAGATGTGCGTACACGTTCTATGAATGGAAAATCAAGAATCACCAAACTGCGGCTTTGGTAAAGCCCAAACCATCAAACACATCACCGGCAAGAGCGCCATCCATGCACACCCTGGCAGCATCGCTGCCGCCTTGGATTGAAGGACCTTAACATTTAACCATGACATCATCTATATAAATTGTTGCCTACATGCCATACGAAAGAAGACCTATAACCAGAGTATAGATATACTATATACAAAGCATTGTGGTTTCGTATGAAGCATACCGTATTGGTGCTGTCTCTGGGTGTCCAGGTGAATCCACGTGACGATAAAATCACGTGCTCGGTCCGTGTCGACTCGCCGTCTCAGCTCAGGTTGTATGAACGCGGCGCTGTTATATCGCCGTCTGCTCTGGATTACTCATGCTAATGACAGAAGGGGGAACCCCTTACCACGGACTTCATTGTGAGGGGTTATCGGTGAATCAACGAGGAAGGGAAACATGGTGGTATTTTACCTTCCTCGTGCGCTATTGTGGGTCTGATGTTTGCAATTCCACACGCGCTCTCTACGCGCTCTGCGTTCATAATAAACAAGCCAGGTGTGTGTGTGTTGTGTGTGTGTGTGTGTTTTTTCATCTTTGTGGGCAGTGTAGCGGTTAGCGCGTTGCTCGACGAACCTGGCGACCCAAGCATTATTCCCGCTCATGGCCAACACCCAGTGACGATTATCTGAACCGGTCGTGGGCCTTCCCTAGGTCGACTCAACCTCAAATGGGTACCTGGTACGGTGTGTAAAATCATCGCCACTGGGGAGACAAAGGTGGTCGGTTGGTACAGGTGCTGGCCATCCACCCCCTGGTGTACCGTGGCAGCCTTCATATGTGTTCGCTAATAGCACTTGCCCCAAATGTCCATTAAGGTTATACGTGTGTAGAATTTATTTAGTACCGTACATACAGTACACAAACGTGCTCATCGGAGGTGCTGGGTAAGGACAACAAACTAAACACAAAAAGCAGTTATTTGTATTTCCGTATGCATGAGTGTGTAGTATTTTCGCATGCAGGGGTTTTTTGACCTTGGGGTGCGTGGGCGCGTGCAGGGGATCAATAACACGGGTCTGTGTCTCATCGCAGTCACCTTATCTTCTTGTCTTCTACCGGGTTATAAACAGTGTACATAAGATGATGGTAGCTGCAATTCCGCACGTTGACTTTTGAACTGCAGAATCCCATTTTGAAGGCAGCTTAAATGTATCCACGTTAATTTAACAAGTGGGCTTTCGCAACCAATGTTATTCATGATAATAAAAGTTACTTTACGTTAGATCGCGTAAATATAAATGTGTAGTTAATCCACCACCACCCGACACAGGCAATCAGTAAGGTTTGTCACGTAAACAAAACGTGCCAATTAGTTACTACTTCAGCACACCGGTGTGTTGGAGAGTAAAATTGTAAATGCTGTGGCTTTTTCTGTTTAGTTTGTTGTCTTTTCCCCACACCACTCACGAGCACGGTTGGCTACGTATGGTGTGAAATAATTTCAACATACATACATTTCACGTGAAAGCATTATTATTATTTTCAGATAAACATCAACATCTGGGCTGTGATCCACAAACCTGCCAGGAAAAACT